CTTACTACCTTCCAAAGATAAATATTTTGTTTAGTTTCTGAAGATCAGCCTGTCCTACCCTCCTTGCTGTCCTATGGGGAGATGACTTCCTGGTGGCAGTGGGAGCATCACAGTAACAGCTCAGTATTCTCACCCATAATTTCATAATGAACTAATAAATAAAACAACTACATGAGTGAAATGTAAAGATACTTAATGTGGTATTAACTCTGAACCATGGTATAAATGAATAGGACAGGATTATGTTATCTAAAAGTAAAAAGCACCAATAAATGTTAAAGGAAGCATTTCACTGCATTAGATTATATATGCATATTTTATATACAAAGTATATAAGGGAAAACATGTGTTTTATAATATATGAGTGTGTGGTAATATTACAACAGTGTTTGAGTAAACATCTGAGCAAAAAAAAATATATAGTCTCCCTCACCCAGCAGTAATCAGTTACCAATAGTTCCTTGGCTAGGTATGGGGACTAATGCCCGTTTCCCCAGTTCTATGCTGTTTTGTCTGATTGAGTCTCTGTTAATGTTCTTTCCACTAAAACTTTTGAATGTATTAGCCGAAATGAGTATTTCTTCCCTGTAAGTTCTTTCCGTCAGGAACTGTGCTCACAGAAATACAAAAATTATGTTTGGAGTTTCTTAGTGTTACTCATACCATCTCCATTAAATTGCTATAATATGAAAAAAAAAATTGCAAGTGATTTTCCTTTATTTTTAAAAAACAAATCTCATGTATCCCATGCTGGCCTTGAACTCACTATGTAGCTGAGGATAACTTTGAACTTACGATCCTCCTGCCTCTACCTACTGAGTGCTGGGATTACTGGCATTGGTCACTATACCTAATTTATGGTGTGCTGGGGATTGAACACAGGGCTTCAGCACATGCTTGGCAAGTACTCTACCAACTGAGCTATAGCCTCAAACCCAGGGAGAATGATTTCTATATGAGAAAATCAGGCAGGCGTACATGATTTGCAAGCCTGTAGTCTCAGAACTCAGGAAGCAGAGGAGGAGCATTGTGCATTAAAGGCCAGTCTGGGCTACATAACAAGAACCTGTCTCAAAAATGCAAAAGAATAAAAAATAAACATATAAGGAAAATCAACTGTGTTCACTTACAAAAACAACGTAACAAAATGAAAAGAAGCTATAACTTAGTCTAATTTGGCCCTTTTAGTACTAGGACAGGAAGCTGAAAATCCTCATATGAACTCAATAGTTTTCACACCTGGACAATTCTGTTGACAGACATGAGAGAAAAACATCTGGCAAATCTAGAGGTAAGGAACAACTGAAGCAAATGTCTCTCTTACCACTTTCCTTTTTGATGGCAATGATGGCTCATTTACCTGGAAAAACAAAAGTTAAAATGATTTCTCAAACTTGTGAGAAGCTATTTTGAAATCTTTTCATCCATTTGCATTTATAGTCTTTCAATTTCCCAGAGGTCAATCTTCTGTGTGATAGATGTTCTTGTACACATTTCAGCACACACACACTAAAATGAGAATGATGGAAATTCTCACTAACATTTTGCTCAGATCCCTATGTGACCCCACCTCCCAGCACCAGGACTGCAGGAGTGAGCCAACACCTTTGACTTTTCTTTTCTTTTTTTTTTTTTTTTTTTGGTCTTTTTGACAAAGGGTCTCCTTATGGTCCCAGCTGGCCTGGAACTCACTATGTAGACTAGGCTGGCCTCAATCTCAGAGATCTGCCTGCCTCTGCCTCCTGAGTGCTGGGATTAACAAATAGAAACAAATAGAAAAATAATGCAAAGCAAAACAAAACAAAGGTGTTGAAGTGACTTACTTCCTGTTGTTCCATGTATTCCCTATGTCTCCGAGCTGCCTCATGCCTCCACAGTTTCAGGCAAACCAGAGCGCTGACCAGATAGACTATCATAGTGACAAACAGGAAGATCATTGCTGCTATCTGACCTCCTTCCACCCGGCAGAGCATTGCATTCATTGGATTAAAGAACGGATAGTAGCAGAGTCCACCTCGGTTGGTGTCATTCACATAGACTATGGCTGCAGCCATGTACAGGATAAACAAGGCAACATTAATTCCAAATTCAGTCAGGGGCCACCAGTTAGAGTCCAAAAGAATGGTCCGGTAATACATGGACATGCCAAGCACCAGAATAATAATAGTGGCGATCCAAGCTAATCCAGCTACTACCAGTATAAAAGGAGTCTTGGGGCCGCTGTAGTAACCCCCATATGTATTGCCCAGACTGCCAATGCCTCCCATGCCATAAGGCTGTGAATAGCCAAACAAGTTGTACCACTCACTGTCCTTGTGAATGTAAGCCGTGACGCACGCAAAGACACCGGCCCCCAGAAGGAGCTCCACCACACCCAGAATTCTCAGCAGGCCTGCCCAGGACTTCATGTATGAATACCTCAGGTTGTACTCCTCCACTTTCTCACTGTATGTTCGAGCCGTCTGTGTGTGCCGGTCTAGGGATGCATAGGGATCGTGAGGAAACATGGCATCCGCTTCTTTCTGGGAACTGAAGGTGCCTTCTGACCCTCTAGAAGGATCTCTGTAGGAGTTGGGTGGGCGGTGGTTTGGTCTTGTTGGTGAAGCTGGAGGTGAACATTCCACACCATCAGAGATGTACCTGATGTCAGACACCGACTTATTCCATTCTGGGTCCTTCTTCCCTTTGAAGAAGTTCTTCCATGAATCAGGGATAAAGCGTCTGACGGGTTTGAGGTCTGGTGCTATGGCAGGTTCCTCTGTGTCACTTGAGTAGAAACCTGGGCCGAACGGTGGCTGTAATGGGAGAGGGGGAGGTGGCAGAGGATCTGCGCTCACAGCCAGCTCACTGTTGTGAAAAGACTCGAGGGTTCTGATGGTACCATCTTGATATGGCATGTCCCCTGGGACCTCACTGTAGCCCCTGTCCCAATTCCTGGATCTTCCATCACTGGATGACATTTGTGATTCTCACACCTGTGGCCAAGATTAAAGTTATCCCTTATGCTTAGTTTTTTATCTTTCATAAATAAAATCTGGCTGTTTTATTCAGTTGTCTCAAAAACTATTTGAGTAGCAAACATGA